CTGGCAAGAGACTTATTTAGATTTTTAAAAGATTTATACACATTTCAAAAAGATAACATTTCAAAGTACTTAAAATTACAAGTTTTCTAAAGTAAGTGCTCTAAGAAAAGGAAGGGAGAGGTCTCTTCCCTTATTTTCAACAGGGAAAATTAAGCCTCGTTTTTAATTTGCGTTTGCCTTTGCATATGCCCCTTTAGAGCCACACCCATCTCCCTCTTTCTCTCTGTCCCTTACCCCAGGCAACCACTAATCTGTTCTCCATCTCAATACTTTTGTTATTTCAAGAGTGTTATGTAAATGGAATCATATGGCACATAGCCTTTGGAGATTAGCTTTTTTCATTCAGCATAATGCCCTCGAGATCCATTCAAGTTGTGCACACCAACAGTTCATTCCTTTTCACTGCCAAGTAGTATTCCATGGGGTGGATGTATTATTAATAGTTTGTTTGCCCTCCCCCACCCCCTTCCCATGAAAATTTTAATACCACAAATACATTGTATATCTGTTTATGTGCTGTGGCCCTTTTGGAGGGCCACCAACCATTGTAACATCTAAGATATTTTCCACCTCCCCCCACAAGAACCAATTTTCACCCCTTTAGGAGTGATACTGTCCCCATTGGGAATGCGTGTTCTAGAAGAATTTGCTGACTTGCTCATCTCTCTTGTTCCAGTTAAGTGCTTATCTCCAGATGGAAGTAGAGCGACTTATAGTTCAAGGCTACGCCCTAGAACATCAGAAATCAATTATCCCTGATCTCACCAACAACACCTGCCTCAGCCATTGGAGTTGCTGCAAAACGGCCAAGTGAGTGCCCTTCTGTGTTGCATTTGTTTCAGAGTGTAGCATAGCAAGCCCTGCTGCCTTGCGCTGAGTACTCCCTGAAACACTGGTTGATCATCTGGGAATGAAATCCACTCTCCTCGTGTGATCTGCCCTCCCCCAGCATCAAGCCAACCAGGCAGGTTTCTGCCTCTTCACATCAGCAAACTCCAGCTTTGTCTAATGGACAAGCCCCGTTTCAGGTCCATGAGCGCCCACGCTGAACATGTTCTGAGATGATGGCTGAATCGGTGTGAACTTCCAAGGAGGTTATGTTGTTTCTAGTCTCCATTCTGGTGACCGTTAATTGTTCTCCACTCTGGAGAATAAAATTGTGCACAGGAGATAGAAAAGAACCTCACACTCTCTCACTTTGGGAAAAGTAGTCTTCCACGTTTGAAAGTGACTGGTAAGGAGAGCCTGTTTCTGTTTCAGAATTCAGCTGCCAGAGTATACCCTGGACTTTGGCTACATTGTCCTTGGTGAAGTCCGAACCCATATCGTCAAGATCACCAACACCAGTCACTTTCCAGTGTCCTTCCATGCAGAAAAACGTGTCCTTCATGACACAGGTAACCAGGCTGGGGAGACGCTTTCCTATCATACTTTGTCGTGTCTAACAAGGACCCCATCTGTACTGTCCTTCTGGAGCAGCGTTTGTGTTTCTTCAGGGATCGCCTGAAAGAGTTGTTGGTACACTGAGTGATCATCCTGCCTGAGAGGGGGATCTATCTAGAGCAGCTCTTACTTGCTACTTCTCTTTCCCATGAAGAAATTTTGTCTGTCTTGCTCTAGGATTCAGTACTGAGCTAGATCGTGTAAAGAATCTGCCTTACTGTGAAACAGAAATATTTGAAGTGAGATTTGACCCACAAGGGGCCAATCTTCCTGTTGGAAACAAAGAAGTCATTCTGCCCATCAAGGTATGTTGCACCACTGGACCCACCTGATGCTCCAGGTATCCAGCTCTGCTTGCTGATCGCCCCAGGATGTTCCAATTATTATGTCAGAGCTGTGAGTCTTCCCCCTCCTTGCCCCCCATGCCACATGGTAACAGCAATCTTATGCCTGCTATAGGTGGTTGGAGGGCCAACAGTTCACATCTGTCTTCAGGCCAAGGTGACCATTCCAGCTATGACTCTGTCTTGTGGAAAAGTGGAGTTTGCTGCAATTCAGTGTGGACAGTGCATGGTGGAAACTGTTCAGCTTTTCAATCATCTCCAAGTCCCTTGTGAATGGTTTGTCCAGAGCCTAAAGCCTGTCAACAAGGTAAATGAGTTGTGGCCCCTTGGTCCCCTTGGTCGCCTTTTCCCCATCTCCGTTTCAGCCAGATTTGTAAACCTAGGCCTTCATTCTCATCATTTCGATTTCCTGCTCAAAGACTTCAGTGGCAACCATTGCCTCCTGAATAAAATCTGGGCCCTTAGCCAAGCACTGGAGGCCCTCTCAGACCATACTGTCAGATCCAATGTCTTATTCATCTTTGTACCTCTGGTATCTACACATTCCTCGATACCTGAGAAATACTCGGGAAATGCAGGTTGTGTGAGTGGAAGATGAAATGAGTCCATTTTCCATAGAAGATGTTCTAATTATCTGATATTTATAAATCAGCTGGGGAAACACATGCCAAAGTACTTAAGACAGAAACTACGTGCTGAACTAACACCGAAGACACGGATCTTTGAGATCCAGCCGACTTCTGGAGTCTTGGATCCTGGAGAGAGGTCCAACGTGCAAGTGAAATTCATGCCAAAAGAAGAGGTGAGCTTTAAAGAAATGTGGCCTCATTTACATTCTCTTTACGCAAAGTTCATGCTTGTTTGGGTCTCAAGGGAAACTCTGAGTGACTCGTGCCTCGCTATTCTGAAGATGGCATTTCACGTGCTTGCTGGTTCATGTAGGAGCTGTGTGGCCTGGCGGTCTGGAATCAGCAGAACTGTCTAACATGTTGGTTTTTATCAGCAGACCTGGGTTAGAAGGCTTCTGCCTCTGCACCCACAGGCTGTGCCCTTGAACAAATCCCTTAGCCTCACTAAGCCTCAGTTTTCTCATAGATAAAATTAAAAAGAATAACATTGCATATCAAAAATCCCTTTTGCAATTCTGGAATGCAGTAAGCTCCAAAAATTGGGGTTGGGGAGATTTCGTAAGTTTCACACTACTTGGTTTTCAGAGTGAAACATTGCAACTGCAGAAACACTAATGTGTTTGATTATTGGGGACCTGCACCAACCCTGCTAAGAGTATCAGATAACACAGGGTATACATACTATTTTTAGCTTTATAAAAATGTGAATTTGAAAGTATCTGGCCCCTGGGTTTCAGTTATTTCAGTTACCTGCAATAACTACCCCCTAGGGTCATTTTGAAGATTAAATGCACAGCATTGGATAAAATACACACAGCATACTGCTCGATGTATAGTAAGCATCTTAATAACCGTTAACTGTTATCATCAGTAGTCGTGTTAAGCACTCCCTGGTGGACAGCCTCCCTGAGCTTCACAAACATCTCTTTTGTGACCGACCACCACCAGCACAAAGCTACTCCTGACCAAGAACACAGTAAAATTAATAAAATACTAGAACCAGAGAGGATCTCAAGAGGTTGCACCATAAAGACTTGTTCAAAGCCTATGGCATTTGGGATGTGTTTCCCTCTATTCTGTTATTTTGAAAGAAAAATTGATGTAAGTTTTATAGAACACCTGTGGTTAACTTCCATCTTCCTGGTAATGGCTTTGAGGAAATGCTTAAGAATCTGCAGTGAGAAAGAGGAAAAATGAATGACTTCATATCTCACTGTAAAATAAAGCCCATGTTTCTATCATTATCAAAATCTCTCCAACCCTTTTTAAAGAAAATTAATAATATATTTGTCATTCTTAAAGAGTCTTAAGACTATCAAAAGTTTACTTAAGATTTGGGATTTTTTTCCATTACTGAATGAGGGAAATACCAGTAAGTATAGTTTAAAAAAATAGATTTGGTCAGACAGTTCCATAAATGTTGAGTTCACATTGGTCAAAGTTAAAAAAAATGTTTCCACCAACTGAAGAGGAACTTTTTGGCTGTATACAAGGAATTGGTTAGCTCTGCAACCCATACAATCCATACCTGCATCTCCATCAATACCAGCAGCACAGAAAAATCACTGACATCCACACCAACCATTCTTAAACATTATAATGTGTTCACAATACTGTGTTAGAAAACAAATGAATGAAATGTTTTAGAAAGCAATTAAAATACAGAAGTTTAGGTCATAAAGTGCTAAGCCCATAACTATATAAAAAAACCTTCTGAGCCAATAATTTACTCTCTTACTGTATCCAACAATAGATATTTCTCCATGTGTGTATGTTTGTCTGCATACATTCCATCCATCAGATTTTTTTTCCCTTCGACCTAAGACAGGAGCTCTCCAAATTGTGATGCCACTCATGGCCCCTAAACCCAAGCCATGAGTCTAACTGGATGAGAATGGCCTGGGCATCTGGTTAAAAAGGCAGAATCCCCAGCCTTACTCTGCCCCTACTGAGTCAGGATCTCTGGGGATGGGACCTGTGAATCTCTATGTTTAATAGGTTCCCCAATGAAATCAGAATAGGAACCACTGAATGGAAAAGTAGATTTTTGTACCATTTGGAGAAAACGTGTAAGTAGTTATAGTATCATTATCAACTGGTATCTGATTATAATTGCATCCAGTGAATTGAATGCCCTAGCTCTGGCTTTCTGCTAAACTCACAGGAAATATACAAAGTACACACTTCAGAATCATCCCTCCCCAGGAGCAAGGTAGCTGGGGTATTTATGCAGTAATTCCCAAGAGTCTGCTTGAGGACTGCTCCCAGAAGGTGTTACTTCCTTGGCACTACTGCCTTGCCCTCCCCCTGCCCATGGGCAGCAGGGCCCATGAAATGAGAGCCTTTGGGCCCAGAAGTGCAGATAGTGGCAGTTGGAAATCTGAGCACACTGGAAGGTCTGAGGGATATGGGGGTGACACTCAGAGAGCCTGCTATAAGTGATGAAGCACTTAGTACAGTGCCTGGCATGCTAGATACTGTATATAGGAGTAATATAAATTATTCCTATGCAACTTTATAAGAAAATTTCTCTCTTAATCTAAATAGTTAAGTTTTTCCCATCAGTGGTGTACAGTTTTACATGGCATGCAATAGAAAAAAATCAGAGGCTTGTTTTGTTTTTATGTTTTCCAGAGATTCTACAGCCAAAACCTGGTGTTCCAGATTGCCCAGAGTACTCAAAAGCTTACACTGGTGGCCTATGGGCAAGGTCTGGAGCCACGCCTGGAATTTAGTCCTTCAGTTTTGGAGCTGGGGCCGCTGCTGCCTTTTGCACCTGGAGATGAGGCTGAGGTGGTCGTGAAGAATCCCTGCAACTTTCCCATTGAGTTTTACTCCTTAGAATTTGACCAGGAATATCTCACAGAAGAAAAGGTGAGCAGAGACCAAAGCCAAACCCCATTTTCCTACACGTGCTGGGCCCTGCCATGTACTACTCATGCTCTTCTCTCTGCACGTCGTAACTTCTTCCTGGCCTTTCCCTTTTCTTTCCCCTTGAACCCTTCCTTGTCAATTGATCACTTCTCTGTAGGCTTTGCTGACCTACCTCTCTTGACGTGAGCGGAATTAATTGCTTCTTTGTGATTCCATTATACATTTTAAGGAACTAATTGAAAAACTAATGCATGTTCAAGGTTAAAATTCAAACAGTAAAGAACTGTATGCAGCAATCTGCCTATATCATTATATTTGAAGTTGAGTTACTTGTAGACAGAATGTAATTGGATTGTTTTTTGAACTATGCTCTGCCAAGCTCTGTCTTTAGTTGGTGTATTTAAACCATTTACACTTAATGTAATTATTGATATGTCAGGGCTTGAGTCTGCCATTTTATTGTATTATTGTTTTTTGTTCTGTTTACTTTTTCCTGCCTTCCTGTCAGTTGCTTCAACATTATTTAGAATTCCATTTTGATTTACCTAGAGTGGTTCTTGAGTATCTCTTTGTATAGTTTCTTTAGTTATTGCTATAGGTATTACATGGTGTATACATAACATTATAATCAACTGGTATTGACATTTTACCAGTTCTAGTGTAATGTAGAAACCTTTCCTCCCTTTATCTCCCTATATCCTTCCTACTTTTTAATATAACTGTTTTAAATATTTTTGCATTATAATTGTCATTTTAACTATCAAACATAAGTTAGAAAACTCCAGAGGAGAAGAAAAATGTATTATATTTATCTGTCTTTTTACTCTTTCTGTTCTTTCTTCCCTTCTGTGATATTCCAGGGTTTCTTCTTTTATTATTTTCTTTCTGTTTAGAGAGTTACCTTTAGCTATTCTTCTGGTGTAGGTCTGCTGATGAAAATTTTTTAGTTTTTCTTCATCTGAGAATGTCTTCATTTCCCCTTTAATCTTGAAAAACATTCTATATCCATTTTTTTCACTGGATATAGAGTTCTGGCCTGACAGTTCTTTCAGCCCTGGCCTCCATAGTCTGATGAGAAATCCAGTGTTATTTGAATTATTTTTTCTCTATAGGTAAGGTTTCATTTCTCTCTCACTGCTTTTAAGAATCTTTCTGTGCCTTAGTTTGTAGAAGTTTGACTATAATGTGTCTTGGCATAGATTTCTTTTGGTTTATTTGGTTTGGGACTTGATAAGTTTCTTAAATCTATAGCCAAAATATGTCCCAAATATTACAGGGACATATTTATACTAAAAAAGGTATTTGTTGTTTACCTGAAATTCAAATATAACTAGGCATCCTATATGTTATCTTGTAGCTCCAATATACATTCACACACATGTACACACACACACACACACACACACACACTTAATACTATTTTACCTGTTTTTCCTTGAATCCTCTATTTATGAGACAAAAACCTTGCTTAGTGTAATATTACTAACCACAATATTTTTTAAGAATGTGTCATTCAAAGTGGATGATGGAGTCCTGTACTTTTGTCATGGGAAAAATGAAAAAGAAAAACAGTATATGTTATTTTTAAAACAAGAAGAAAATTCTTTTCCACATGTGGAATGCCCAGGCTGAAATAGAACAAAATAAAGAGCCTGTATCCCCACAAGTTCAGAACTCAGCCCTACTTCTTAGACCTCTCCAAAGGGTCTCACCCTTTGAAATCCAGAAAATATTTCTACAAGTCTCAGCCTCAGGTAGGAGTTTTACAAGCTCAACGAGCAAGCCCACCTAGAGCTACAGGGAGGAAACTTCTGCTGAGACCAACAGCAGTTCCTGTTTTCCCCTTGAGCAGATCTTGCGAAAGCTGAAGGGCTATGATTCCTACAACAGCCTACTGCTACCTCCCCGCAACCCAGGGGAGAGGCTGCCCCCAGAGGTGTATGAGTACTTTAGGGAGATGAAGAAGTCAAGAGAGGAACAGATGAAGGCGAAATTTCTGGAGACTCTGGCGCAGGAGAACGGTGAGAACTCAACGTGGAGAACCCCTGGCACTAGCACTGCCCTGGCCCCTTTAAATCCCCCCTGCTGTGTACCTGACAGATGCCCAGCTGAGGCTAGGTGCCTTATATGTTTTATTTCTAATCTTTACAAAATAGGATCCCTACAAAACAGGTCTTGTTACCCCCATTTCCTTGATGCAAAGGCTGGAACACATTCTGCTGTCGGTAGAATCCAGTAGGGTATTAAGTCTTAAAAACAGCTTATACAGATGGAAGAACACTTGCTGGATACTGTGCCAAGGGCTTTGCACATACAGGTAAGAAATGGAAGTGCAAAGAGGCTTGGTCCACAGTTTTAAGTGGCAGAATCAGGATTTCAGCCCAGGGCTCTCTGACTCCAGAGTCCATGCAGGTGACCACTATACGCCACTGCCTCCTATAGGTGTGCCAGGGTAATGTAAAGTAATGCATCATGCAAGGTAGACATTGGTGCCCTAAAAGAGATAGGGAGTGGGAGTTCACACAAGAAAAAGGCCAGCCCCTCCATGGGCCTGAAGGCCAAAGCCCAATCACAGAGCTGCACTGAGCTCTCGTAAACATACCCTTTCTGGCCTGGCCACCCCAAGTTATCCCATCATCTGCCCAGGGGCTCTCTTGTATGCTTGAGCATGAAGGTTACCGACTGACTTGTGGGACTGTGTGGCTTTTCTTGCTTTTCTGTGCCCTCTTCCTGGACATGTACCTCGCCTGTTCTTACTTGTTCTCTTCTGTGGAACTGTCATCACATGGCAAATTATTTTCTTTATACCTGCCTCCCCCACTAGCCAAGAACCGCCCCCTCTCCCAAAGACAGTGATCACATATTCCCCACTTGTAAACCCAGGGCTTGGAACAGCAGCTGAAACACGACAGAGCCCAGTGATTGAGTGCTAGAGGAGTAAGTGCGTTAATGATTGAATGGGGTCCTTTTCTCCTGCCCTTGGGAGTCTCATTGTCTCTCAGTGGCCTAAAAAGAAAAGAGAAGAGAAGGCTGCCTCCCACCCATCATCCTATAGTGTTCCTTGAGCACTGTGTTAGTTTGCTAGGGCTGCCATAAAAATATCACAGGCTGGGTGGCTTAACCAACAGAAATTTCTTTTCTCACAATTCTGGAGGCTAGAAGTCCAAGGTCAAGGTGTCAGCAGAGTTTCTTTCTTCTGAAACTCTTCTTCTTGTATATGGCTGTCTTCTCCCCACGTATTCACGTGGTCTTCCTTCTGTGTGTGTCTGTGTCTTAATCTCTTCTTATAAAGACACCAGTCCTATTGGATTAGGACCTACCCATATGACCTCATTTTACCTTAATTACTTTTTTAAGGCTCTATCTCCAAATACAGTCACATTCAGAGATACTGGAGGGTTAGAACTTCAACTTGTGAATTTTGGGGGTAGAGGGTACAATGAAGTCCATAACAAGCGTCCACCGTGTTGCAAGCACTGAACTAAAATGCTGGGGGAGGCCTTTGATTCAGGAAGGAGGTGAGGGGAGAGATACTTAAACTCAGAGGGACTGCCCAGTGGCCTGAGGCACGGGGCTGCGAGGGGCTTCAATGTACAAAGGACCTTGTGAGGCCAAAGAAGGGCCTTGTTGCTCTCATGGTCCTTACACACCATGGTCGTGGGTTCACTTTTCCTTTTGTCCTGATGGAAGATGGTCTAGAGCCAGGGACAGTCAGTGCAGCGGGAACCAAGGAAGGCTCACACTCTGCTTCTCATCAGCACTTCCCTGAACATCTACTCACTCTGCCCTCACGCTGTAGACGGTCCTTTTCTGCTCCCCTGACCACATCCAGGGAAGGCCCACAGCCCCAAGCACGTTGTCACCATTCACAAGAGAGCTGCAATGTCTTAGGCTCAAATCCAAATTCTCAACAAAGAGGACATCTTGCCCTGCAGTACAGGGGTCACCTTGTACAGTCACAGCCCACTGCATCCCCTGAAATCCTGTGGACTAGGGGACAATGAGGAGGTGCTGGGCCAACAAACTGCTAGATGTGCCTAACAAGGACATGGGGAATGTTCATGATAAATTAAGGGGGAAAGCAGGCTACAATTCAATGTGTACAATATGAGCTCAAGCGTAGTTGTGAAAAATTAAAAATAAATCGGAGAGGTTGCAGCTCTCTTATACTGGTATAAAATTCAGTGCAATTCCTCTGTTACCATTCTTTTGTCTAGCTGTATCTTTTTTTACAGCTGAATTTTATCATTTTTTGGCTCTTTTGAATTTTCCAAATTTTATGAGCAAATGCATAATTTTGGTATTTAAACAAATGTTAAAATGAAGAAAAACACTAAGCACAGAGGAACTTATGTAACAGCCAACTGACTGCAGTTCTTGTTCATTTGGGTTGGGTAGCGCGGGGCGTTGGGGATGGTATAGTGATTCTCCTCTTTGTCCTCTTTTCCTTTTCTGCCCCCATCACCCTTGTGCCCCACCCCCAACTCGTCCCTTCTCCCTGTGTTCTCATCCTTGGCTCCCAGCAGAAGAGGAAGATATGATCACATCAGATCAGGGAACCTCCGCAAGCACAAAGAGGATGTCACTTAGCCGAGGGATCTCTGTCACATCCAACCTGGAAGAGCGTCATGTCCCTTTGGTCGAGTCTAAAACCTTCTCAGATGATGATGACGATGAGGAAAGCCTGGAAAAAATAATGTTTCAAAGTAACCAAGCATTTTAATGTTTTGGTACCAGTTCTCTCTAAGCAGAAGTGGGAAATCTCTGCAGTGCCCTGTCGCCTTTCTCCATGAAGTGTCTCCTCTGAGCCCCACCGCCACTCCTTCTGGCCCTGCCCCCACACCTTCCCCTGGAGGAGCGCAGGTCTCCCCATTCACACTAGGATACAAGCATGGGGGCCTGCTGATGAGCTCAGCATGTGACATATTCTTGCCACTGCTGTCTGCATTTTGGCTAGACTAAGTATGATTCTGAAGGCCTAAATCTTCAATGCTAAAATTCCAGCAGGCTGGAGGTGTTTAGGGAAACATTTCACAGGGCGGGAGGCATTCTTCCCGGTGTGCCTCCACCCGGACCATTAGGAAAACCTCCTCTTGACCTCCCAGCACTGTGGGCCCATTTTCTAACATTTATTTTCCCCAAGTCATACAAGATGTTGAAACTATATTTAGAAGATTAGATTCAGCAAAACTGGGTTCACAGTGGCCATTTGTGTGCCAGTCAGTAAACCATAATAAAGCATAAGTGACCTTGTCACATGCTCATCTCAGGAAATAGGAATCACGGGCAAGATGAATGAGATCTTTAAAGAGTTTGGTTAAGTCGTTATTCTTAGCTCTCATCAACCAGGTGAGCAAATTAAGGCAGGAGAACGTGATGGCAAAACTGGGATTAAAGACAGAAATCCTGGCTCCGTGTTTAATCCACCCTGGCTCTGCTGACCCAAGTGGCTCCTGGTCTCTCATGGCCGCCTCCCCCACCCCACACAGCCTGGCTCTGCTCCCCATGCCTGGGCTCTCCCAGAGCCAACCGCAGACATCCTGCAAAGAAGGAAGCACACCACAGTGCTGAGGATGGGAAAACGTGGAAACCATCTCAGTGCCCATCAGTAGGAGACTAGTTAAATTATGATAAATCCACACAGTAGGAGGTATTTGGCAGCAGTTTCAAAAGAATGAGCTAGATCTATATTTCAGTAAATAGAAAAATATCCAAGATATATTATATGAAAAAAGCAAGTTATAGAACAAAATTTAGAGTATGAGCCTAGTTTTGTTATTAAAACACTGAAAGTTTGGGATCACTGTGTGTATTGGGCTGCATACTTACTCTGTATTCTGTATGTATTATTCTGCAGCTGGCTTTTTTCTATTATAAACGTTTCTCCAGGGCAATACTTTTGATCTAAATCAAAGTATGACAAACTTTTCCCATAAAAGACCAGATAGTACATATTTTGGACTTTGCAGGCCATACCGTCTCTGCTACAGCTACTCAACTTAGCCTTTGTAGCATGGAAGCAGGCAAAGACAGTACATAATCAAAGGGGCATGGCTGTGTTCCAATAAAACTTTATTTACAAAAACACATAGCAGGAGAGATTTGGCCTGTGGGCTGTAGTTTACCAGCCTGTGCTATCTAAGTCATTATTAAAGTAACTACTATGTATTAATTCCATAAGAGGAACATGCCATCATGTATTCAGCCATTTCCCTTAATGTTGCAAATTCAGCTAGTTTCTAATATTTTGCCACTATAAACAGTCTTTTCCCATACAAATGCCCTTTTTTTTTTTTTAGCAGGAGAGATTCCCAAAAATAAAATTAGAGTCAAGGAGTATTTGTGTTTTTAAATTTTAGTAACCGTGGACAAATTGTTAGCCAAAAAAGGCATTCTCATACACTATAGGCAAGGACTGCTGCAACATTTGCCATTTTAAAATAGCATTTAAAAAGAGAAATTTGTTCCCATTTCCACCAGTACCCATGTAAATTCTGACCGTAGACACATGCACTCACATGTGTATACACACATGTTTTTAATTTGCAGCTGACAAGATTCACAGCATTGATAGCCATTCCACAGACGAAGTTGGAGAGGTAGAAAACAACCCAGTGAGCAAAGCAATCGCGCGCCACCTGGGTGTTGACATTTCTGCAGAAGGCCGCTTGGCCAAGAGCCAGAAAGGCATCGCCATCATCATCCATGGGACGCCCTTGTCAGGTAAGCGACTGTTCTGAGGGGAGGTTGAGCCAGGGGTGCCACGTGTCCTCCGTAAACTCCGTGGCTTCCAGAGTGGCAACATCAGCTGTGTGGTCATGGCAGATACTAACGATTTTATCCAGGGAACAACATAGCAGAGTGACTACAAGCATGAACCCTAGAGCCAAACAGCCCTATGTCAGATCATAACCTATAATGCCATTTCTAGATGAGTGCATTTGGGAATGTTACTTAAGTTCTCTGTGCTCAGTTTCCTTGTCTTTAAAATGGTATTAACAGTATCTATTTTATAGGGTAATCATGAGAATTAAATGAAAACATTTGTATAAAATGCTTTTCCCAGTACTTGGCACCTAATAAATAAACAAAAATCTTTTGATATTATCATCATTATTACTACAATGATGGTTACCATTCATAATTATAATTCTGGAGTTTGAATCCCCATTGGAAAAAGACTCAAATCACATGCTATATATTCTCAAGGAATATCTTGCTAACTATAACCCAGTCAAGGAGTGAGCCATCCTTTAACAAGAATCCTATTATTGCCTCTAAAATTACATGTGCTAACTTCACTATAAACCCAAAGGAGCAAAATCACCTACATTGAACAAGATCTTCAACTTGTGTAGTGATGTACAGTTTACAGAGCTCCTGCCCATCCATTTCTCTCTTTAAACTTCACAACCACCCAGAGGAGAGAGTTTGATTGGCCCCACCTCACAGGAAGTCAAGGTTCACAGAAATTCAAGAACATCTGCCAAGGTCACCCAGCTAGTGACAGAGCAGAGGGACCTTGGGAGGATGCCCTGCAACCTCTCTTAGCTTTAGCTTACTTGAGGAAGGGCAATGAAACCTTTTTCTGATCCAATTACTGTCACTCATACAGACAACATGGGGCATATTCCATGTTCTAATCACCGAGAGGCTCCAGGAATCTAAAAATGTCACAATCCATTACCCCTTCCTTTGAAGAACCTTTCCTTGAGAAGTCATAAACCAGAACCTAAAAGGTGGAAGGCCAGATCTGGGGGCAATAGGTGAAAATCAAACAAGGTAAATAACATAGTTAAAAATGTTTTGAAGACCCCACTGCATGCAGCCGTTGCACTGAAAGGAGTGTGAGAGAGATGGTGGATAGGCCAGGAGAGATTGAAGACAGCCAAAGAGTTAGCCCTGAAGACGCACCAACATGGAAGGAGCTACTAGCCCCATTCTAGGGGAGGGTTCAATCACATTTTCATCTGGAGACAAAAAGCATATTAAAGAGTGGATGACAGCAGTAGCAACCCTGGCATTTTCATGAAGCCTTACAGTTTCCTAGGAATGTTCTTGAAGAACAGTTTAACAGTATATGTCAAAGACTGTTCAATGTAAATTATTTTGCCCTTTTTGTTTATGGTGAAGTTAGCACATATAATTTTTAAAGATAATAAAAGACCCTTTTGTTTATAATTTATATACCAAAAGATTATCCCCAAACTGCTAAATTGCTGGCCTCACAGATACGGAGTTAAGAAGAAGAGGGAAGACACTTCATTTTGAATTTATATATCTCTGAATTGTTCGAGCTTGTATTCTTTTCATAATTTAAAACATTAAAATATTAGAGAAAATCCAAGACATTAAATTATTTTAAAAGAGAGAGAAAAATATGTGCAAACCCTTTGACCTGGCAATGTTACTTCTAAAAATTTCTTAGGAAAATAATTAATGATGTGGACAAAGATTAACTGCAGCACTGTTTCCCATAATTTAAAAATTAAGAGCAATTGAAACATTCAGTATGGGGGACTGGTTAATTAAGACATGGTGCATTTGTGTAGTGAATTTTTTAAAATTTTTAATTGATAATATACATTTTTATGGGCTAGGAAGGGTGGGGAAGATAAAGATTAGTTAATGGGGACTGACATGCAGTTAGATAGAAGGAACGAACTCTAATGTTCAATAACAGAGTAGGGTGACTGTCGTTAACAACAATGTACCGTATATTTCAAAGCAACTAGAAAAGAGGACTTGGGATGTTCTCAGAATGTAGAAATGATAAATACTGGATGTGATGGATACCCCAAATATCCTGACTTGATCACTACACATGCTATTCCTCTCGTGAATTATGTTGCCATTAAAACAGTGTCTTGGACACCCACATTCATGGAAGCATTATTCACAATAGCCAAAATACGGAGACAACCCAAATGGCCACCGGTGGATGACTAGGTAAACAAAATATGGCACAATGGGATGTTATTCAGCCATTAAAAGGAAGAAATTCTGACACATGCTACAACATGGATGAACATCGAAGACATCGTGCTAAGTGAAATTAGACAGTCACAGAAGGACAAATATTGTATGATTCCACTTATATGAGGTACCAGAGTAGTCAAATTCATAGAGGCAGGAAGAAAGGGAGACAGAATGGCGGTTGCCATGGAGTGGAGGGAGAGGGAACTGGGAAGTCAGTGTTTAATGGTTGAGTTTCAGTTTGACACAATGAAGAGAGTTCTGGAAATGGACAGTACTGATGGAGACACAACAATATGAATGTACTAAGCACCACTGAACTGTACACTTACAAATGATTAAAATGGCAGCCAGTATGTATATTTTACCACAGTTAAAAACAACAGTATCATACAAGTGTATTGAATGCATAAAAAGATGTTCATGATATATCATTTTACAGGAGGAAAAAAATGCCATACCTATGATTTGTATTAATAACTTGTATTAGTTTCCTGTTTCTGATGTAACAAATGACCACAGACTTAGTGGCTTCCAACAACACAAATTTACACTCTTACAAGACTGGTGCTCAGAAGTCTAAAATAGGTGAGCAGAACTGCATTCCTTCTGGAGTTTCTCAGTCCATTTCCTTGTCTTCTTCAGCTTCTAAAATGTCACCTGCATCCCTAGACTCATGGCTTCTTCCTCCTCCTTTAGAGCCAGCAATGTGGCATCTCCCAGTCTCTCTTTCTGCATCTGCTGTCACGTCACCTGCTCTGACTCTGACGCTCCCGCTTCCCTCTTTTAAGGACACTTGCAATTAGATCATGCCCACCAGGATAATCTAGGATGATCTCCCATATCAAGATCCATAAATTAATCACATCTGCAAAGTCTCTTTTACCATATAAGGTAACAGACTTGCAGGTTAGGATGTGGACATTTTCAGGGGACCATTATTCAGCCAACCATGTAACCCATTTCTTTTTTATAGGAAACGTAACTACCATAGTTACAGATGCTCACTTAACAACCATAGGCTAAATATAGTATCTCCAGGTGAGAGGACTATGGATCTTCTTTCCTTTTCTCTTGCTTGTTATTTCTGAATTTTCTGCTTTCTTTTTAATGACAGTACTTTGAAATAAGAAAAAAAATTAACACGGTTATTCTTTAAACCAAAAAACTCTTCCCATTAGAATCAGAGACAGTAGGAGCCACAGTATTTTAAAGATCATCTGATAGAATCTGTTATTTAAACTGAGGAGAAAACCCAGTGAGGACGTGGTTGCCATGGCACACGTGCATCAGTGGTGGGACCGGGACCAGACCCACAGCCCTGACTCCTGGCTGAGGTTGTCCTTCTCCTTGCTGCTGCCACCTCTGCCTACACAAGAGACCTGGGAGCAGAGCACTCAGAGAGATCCCTGTACAGGGACCTGTGTTCTAGAGACATTGAGCAAAGGAGAACCCTTTAATTCAACCCTCTGGCCTTTTTTATAGGAAAGTCAGCCACCGCCACGAGCGTGGCCAAGTACTACAACGCGGCCTGCTTGAACATTGACTCCATCGTGCTGGAAGCCGTGTCCGACAGCAGCAACATCCCAGGCCTCCGTGCCCGTGAGCTCTGCATCAAGGCTGCCATAGAGCAGTCCATGAAGGAGGCAGAGGAGTCTGGTAAGAGCCCATTTTTCCCAGGCTTTCTGTGGTCAGGTCACCGCCGCCCCCACTGGTAACGCCCATCTTCTCCATGCCCCCACCGAGCTCGCCGCCCTCGGCCGGGCTGGAGGCTGACTGAAAGATGCTGCCAACTTAGTAGCCAGAAAAGAATTCTCCTGTCCAAGCATGTCCAGGTCTCCTGCCCTGCCCAATGCAGGCACACTCCTGGCACTGCAGGGAGCAGGACGATGGCTAGGACGCAGCCCGCACCTATGGGGGCTGACACGGGAGGGGAAGCAGACACGGGCTCATGCAGAGCAGAGGAAAATAACATTGCAACGGCGGTACTCGCTTCTGTGGAAGAGCAAGACTGGGATGAGTGGGTTCACACAAGCGCGATTCGGGGACGTTTTCATGGAAATGGGCTTTGAAGGAGCAGGAGGATGTTGATGGGCAAAAATGGGGCTAAGGACAGTCCAGACCAAGAAGCAGGGAAGCTGACGGTAAATTAGGGGTAGGAAGGCAGGCCGAGTCTCAAATGCCACGATTAGGAATTTGGGTTTTATTCTGAAGGGAAAGAGGAGCTGGGGCAGTTTCACACTATAACGGGTCAGAAAGTCACAAGAGGGAAGCAGGCCTTTGCGATGTGTTGTCAGGGAAGCCACAGTGAAGCTGCAGGCGAGGTGGCCTGGGCCGGCTGACCCGGCGTTCACCTGCACAGTGGAGAATGAAAGGGGTGGGAGGCATCCGAGATTTCTAGCCACAGAAACCCAGAGGAGAGTGATGCCATTTACCAAGACAGGGAACACAGAGGGGAGAGAAAGTTTCCTAGAGAGGAAAATGAATTGAGTTTTTGTATCCCGTGGTAGGGAGGTTGGGTGTGGCCTTCCTACCAGAAGTGGGAATCCTGGCCCCGTCAGGTCATCCGAGGAGCTACAGGGCAGCAGAGCAGCTGCTCAGTGGGAAAATCCGTTGCGTACCTGCTCAGAGCGGAATCCTTTTTATGTCGATACTCGTAGCACTGTGACATAATCCCAAAGAGTGCACCAGCCTGCTGGTTGATAAAACTGGCTGGGGCTTTCGGGGTTGTCCCCTTTCCGCAATACCTCTGCGTGGGATGCTTAGGGAGTGGAAGACTCTTAGCTAGGGAGATAAGAGAAAAAGCCCTTCGGAGGGAATCCCCAGCTATGTCATAATTCTGGTTCTCTTCAATGTTTTGTTTCCTCTTCTGTGAAATAAACATTTCATAGTGATCTGCGGAGCTGTGTTCATGTCCTGTGCCAAATGGTGAATTTGAGCTCCTGGTCTGAGAAAGTAACTCGAGCTAGAGACAGAGTTGGGGGAGTCTTCCTCAGCGAAGTGAGAGGGGCAGCCACTGGGGTAGATGAACCAGCCCAGAAAGTCCCAGAAGGAGGCAGGAGGGATGGATGAGGCGAGATGGGACCTTGGGGAACACTTACATGTTAGGTGGAGGTGGAGGAGGAGAAGAAGCCAGGAGAGGCTGAGACTGCAGCGCAAGGGTCACGTGGGCAGAGGAGTCATGGGGAAGTCAAGGAAAGAGGCTCCTAGCCTCAGGGAAGGGAGGGGCTCAGGGGCTGCATCTCTCCAGAGCCCTGCCCGGCCTTCCTGTTCTGTTCTCGCAGCCCTTATCTCTAGTCAGCATCGCATTTATTCTGCTTACCTCACTGTCTGTCCCACGCGCCCACCACCCCCAGCAGGATGTAAGCTTCTAGGGGCAGGGATTCGTATGCATTTTCCTGACTACTGTACCCCAGCACCTGGAACAGTGGCTGGAACATAGTCGACACATAATGAAGATCTGTAAAAACGTATTGAATCAATAAATGCACAGAATCTGAGACTGCTGAAAGCTCAGATAGAATGAGCCCTGAGTAGAGCACCACTGTGTTTCTCAGTCTCGAGGTTTCTGGCGCTTTTGGAGAGAGCCCTGTCGGTGCAGGGGTCAGGCCCTAACCTCCGCTGCCTGTGTGCTGTGGAGTCCACAGGCTGTAATGTCGCAGAAGCGGTAAATCCAGCTCTACCTGTGCCCTACAGCAGCCACCAGGCACGGGGCTTCTGAGCACCGGAACTGTGTCTAGTCCAAAGAGATGTGCTGTAAGTGGAATCTGGAAGATGCAATATGAATATCAGACTAAAATAACCCAGTTACAATTTTTACACAAAGTTTACATGTTGAAATGATCACATTTTGGATATATTGTATTAAA